GGAGCCAGTAGAGGGAACCAATCTGGTGGGTGATAGATAGTGTACCCGGGGTAGCTTATCCGAAGGGTTATTACGGAGAATAATAAGAGAGAAGTCGGAGCAAGTAAATATAGAGAGAGAAAGTATATTGCAAAGTGTTCAGCGTTTTCAGCGTGTTATGACTTGGTTACTGATAAGTACATATTACAACACGCATTTGATGTGTGTTGGGGTTGCATTTTGATAGTTTTCCTAGCTTTAAGGTGTTGCAAGTCTCAATTTTAACTCAAGTTATGTTTACCGGACGTTGGTTCGAGTTTTGTGTCATTTGGAGTCAAAATCAGGATTTTAGACACCAACACCGGCACTTGAGAAGCAATCGGGACGAGTTGAGAAACATTAGAGATTGATTTGAGAGCTTTGGAGGTCACCGGGAGGTTTACGATGAAGAGTTGAAGACAAAAGAGCTCTAGGATTGGCTACGGGATAAAAAGAAGACAAATAGAGCTTGAAAATGACGATCAGGATGACCTTCTGTTAATCATTCAATCATATCTCCTTGTAGAGACATCCAATGTACACGTTTCAAGTTCCATATGAAAGCCAACTTCAAGGGCTACAAATCATGCGAAGACATCTTTCCGAGAATCTGATAGGAAGAATGTGAAAACAGACGACGAAGTCAGATGATCCCTGTTGCGATTTCAGAATGAGACATTCCACCATTTTATTCATATCTGTTGATTGGATGATTCAAATCCAATTCGGAAAATTGGGGTGGATAGAGGACTTCATTATCTACAACTTTCAAGAAGGAAGTAAAGTCAAATTCGGACGTTTTACCCAAGCCGTGCGTGCCTCGTTTTTGTTTCCTAATTTAAGTGCGAATTTCCTTGTTTCCTAATTCAACCCGAATTGCTTTGTTTCCTATAAATAACAACTCTCTAACCCTAATTAAGGGGGGAGCTTAGAGAGAGCCCTAGGGACGAAATTTCTTCTACTTTTCCATCTTGTTCTTCAATTCCCTTGGATTATTTGTAAGTTCCATCTTTTTAATTAATGACAATTAATTCTATTCTTCGCAATTTTATTGATTCTTCAATTATGAGTTGTGAGTAGTTTTAATTACGGATTTGGGGTTGATGAAGGGGTTAATCATGATGTGTGGTTAGATTCTTGATGGTGTAAATTGCATGAATGCCATTTAATTTTTGTTTGAATAATTTAATTGATATCTTTTGTAACCTAGAATGGCCACTAGATTTACAATTGCTTATAGAATAAATTAAGAGAGATCTAATTTGTTCTAGGACACATTCACACACACTTAATCGTTCGCTAAGAGATTAGTAGCGATTAAGGGGCCGTAAGCTCGTTCGTCTTAGCAATAATTTAGGATCCTGTCGCATGAGAGATCAGCCTGGTCCCCGAAATTATTGTACTCTACGCCGCGAGAGCGATAAGAATTTAGTATTGATTAGCTAGGCTCAATTAAAATAAATTCATGTAATTAGGCCTGATCTGCCAAAAATCTGATTACCCCGGAATCAATCCCTGTTCCCTTCGTTGTTAATTAAGAAGAACCCAATTATTTACTTTTAATCGTTTATTTGCAATTTTAGTTTTCTCAAGCAACAAATTCTCGCACGACCGCATTTGTTTTATTTATTTCTTTTTATCGCTGATTTTAGTTAATCTTTAATTCCCTTTTACCGTACCTGTGGAGACGATACTCGTACTTTCAGTTACAAATGGGGAAATGGGGTGCTATTTATAGTAGCAATAAATGCCGGACAGGGACACGTGTCAAGCGTCCATTGGCCGAGAGGTCACCTCAACTGGTTGGCGCTGGCAACCGCATGTGGCCGCATTTAATGCGGCTGTTGGATGGGACGTTGTACAGGGTACGGCGATCTGTACGCATGTGGCGCGGATATCATGTCGGGAAAGGTGCCCTCGGCTGTAGAGGACTAGCCGAGGGCTCTGAGTACCGGGGACCCCCCTTGGTGCCGAGGGCTACTGATTTTCGCCGTTTTTCCCAGTAACTTTGTTTTGCTGTCTTGGCCCTCCTGTGAGAGTTAGAGCCTTCGGCCAGGGGGCCGAAGGCACCCCTGGTGCGCATTTGTGGGCTGCTTGGTATCTTGGGCGCCGTGATTTGGGCCTGTTGGGCCTTCCGGACCTGTTGGGCCTTTACTGGAGTAGTAGGAGTCTGTGGACCGGGGGTTCCCGGGCCATATACTCCATCAGGAGTCCCTCACTCCTTTTGCCGAAAGGTACTTGAGGGAAAAGGAGTAATTTGTGTTCGTCCTCTGTCGTTGTTCCGTTTGTAGTTTGTAGAGTTGTGGGTAGTTTGCTGTTTGTTTATTCTGCCGAGGGCAGTCCCTCAGTTACCCACATGTCGGGACTTGAGGGGTCATGTTTGTGATTTTTGTGATTTTTCCCGAGGGGGTCCTCCAGTCCCCCACTCCTTGAGGCACTTGCAAAGTGGTGAAAAGGAGTATAGTAGTTGTGTTGCTGTTGTGGGCCGAAGGCTGACGCTTTTCGTTTCATTTTGGGGGGGTGCCTCGTTAAAAACCTCATTAGGAAAAACCCTGTGGGAAAAAATCCTAATGAGGGAAAAAGAGTGCACCGAATTCCCCCAACGATGAATCGAAAATGTGAAACCTTGGTTCGAAATGGAGAATAATGATGATGCCGAAGGCTTTCCCTGTTCTGAGGGCTCATGTGTTGATTAGCCGGAGGCTTGCTTTTGATACCCTGGGAGGTGCCGAAGGGGAGTCCCTCAATCTGGGGATCGAGGGCGTAATGAATGAGGGTAGTAGTTGAATTGTTACAGGGTTATCCCCTGTTTGTTGATTAGCTGGTGATGAGGATATCCGAGGGGTCCCGTTACCTGTGTGCCGTAGGCTATCCGTCAATGAGGCATACTCCCCGGGGGCTACCCAGCCCTCAAAGTGCTGAGGGGGGATCCCCGAGGGGTGCCTGATATGAAGCCTTGGGCTTCTGAAGGAGTGATTTCGAAGGCATCTGTTATGTACTGTGTGGGGCACAACCCGGGAGCGTCTCCGGGTAAGTGTACCCGGAGGCTCTCCTTGATGAAGTGGAGTGAAGTAAAAAGCACCGGGGCTCCCAGAATATAGCCGTTGGAAATATAGCCGTTGGAATATGTAACGTCATGATATAGCCGTTGGGGGGTGCCACGTGGTGCGTGCTCGTTGGCTGCCCGTGGGTGGGCGTCACCGATTGGGTGAAACCACGGTTGGTAATGATGGCAGTCCAACCGGAGGCCCGGTTTCCAGGCCCAAGCCCGGATCCTTTTGCCTATAAATACCCCAAGGCCGGACACTTCCCCTTGTGCGATATCTTGTTAGCGAAGCTCTGCTGGATTTTTTCTAGAGAGAGAAACTCCAGCCTTCGGTTGATTCCCAGCTCTTAAGGTTAGTTCCCCCCTGCCTTTCTCCTCCTAGCTAGCTGTGCCCTGTGCCCTTAGGCTAGGAGTTAGAATTTTTAGGATACTTAGCATTTCCGAGCCCTCGGCTAGTGGGAAGATGTCTTCACAAAGCGACTCCCAGGATATCTCGGGGGAGCCTTCAGTCGAGATGGAGACGTGCTCAGATGTCGAGTCCTCGAGCGGAGAGTCCTCGGTGGGTGGTGATGCTGCGGTAGCCATGGAGGTGGAGAAAGACCTTCAGGCCGAAGTCGAAGCCGAAGACTTCGAGCAAGTAAACGAGGACGAAGAGCTCGCCCTCGCCGTGCAAACTGCCGAAGAAGAAGAGGAAAGGGAGAGGATGAAGGTGACGGTTGCCGTTCTTCCCCCTCGTGGTGCCGGGGAATCAACCTCCTCCCGGCCATTGGACCCGACGCCCATTAGTGTGGCTCCCGGGAAGAAGAAGAAGATGAAGGCGGCCCCGAGGAAGAAACAAGCGGTTGTTGACGTCGGGCGGCCGGTAGGCATACCCGAGGGCCACTCGTTCCTGAACACCGCCGCCCTGGAGCTGAAGACGAGGGCGTCCCCGGTAGAATACCAGGCCACTCAGATGTTGGTTGGCCCTTCGGCGCGCGTGGTGGAGCCCAGGGCAGATGATCTATTGCGATATGCGCCCGAAGGGTGTTTTGCTGTTCACACTCTCTCGGTGGAGATGGGGCTTCAGTTTCCACTTCATCCCTTCTTGCTGGAGTATTTGAGGTTTGTGGGGTTGGCCCCTTGCCAGCTAACGCCCAACAGCCACTCTTACGTGGCCGGCTTCCTCTCCCTGTGCCAGAGCCGGGGGGTTGAACCTACCCTTGACCAGTTCTTCATGTCCTTTAACCTCTGCCGGGGGGCATTCAAATGCTGAGGGCTTTGCCAACCTTCAGCAGGTACCGGAGTTCAGGCTTTTCGACGATGTGCCCTCCTCCCACAAGGGGTGGAAGGAGCGATTTTGCTACATTCGTCTCGAGGAGAACCCCTTCCCGGCCCAGCTCCGCAACAGCTTCCAGCGTCACCCGAAGGTAGGGAGCGCAGCCCTGGAGAAGAATAGCAAAGTGCTTGCCAAAAAACCGGAGGGGTCTGACAAGAACGTCAAGATTAAAGACGTCACCCTCCCCGAGGAATAGCTTAGCCTGGGCTTCCGGCAGTTCAGGCCGAGGGGCTCTTCGGATGAAAGATACCCTCCCCTCGATCGAGTCTTCGAAGGAGCTGGAGGTGATTAACGAAGGGTTCATTTGTACCTTGATAGTTTTTCTTCATACATTCCTTTTCTTTCCTTTCTTTTATGCCATTGTAATTGATACCCTTCGGTCTAACCCTCCTGTGTCTTTTTCTTGCAGGTAATAACATGGACGTAGGCTCTCTCTTCGCTTTGAAGAATGCGAAAGGGAAGAAGAAGGCCCCGGCGGGCACTTCTGCCAGGGAGGAGCCCTCCCAAGCTGCTGCTGCCGGCGCCGGAGGGTCCAGGGGTGCCGGGCCCGCGAAGAAGAAGAATGTCGGCAAGGGGACCGAGACCCCGGCAAAGAAGGTGAAGACCGCCGCCCCCGCCAAGCAGCCAACCACCGATGTGGTCGTGATCGTGGATGAAGGGCACGCCTCTGCCCCCACCTCCCAGGAACATATCAACCAGGAGTTGTTCGGGCGGGAGAAACTGGAGGTGCTAGTGCCGAAGGGGGCTTCTGTATTGGAGGGCAGCCTGAACCCTTCGGCACTGATGAGCCAGATGTTGCCGTCAGCTGACCGCTTGGCCCTCGCCAGGTTGGACGAGGGATCCCTCGAGGCGAAGGTCCTTCTGAACGCTGCCTCCGTAAGTCATACCCATCCTTTCCTTGTTCGTTGTTATGTTTTTTTCTTTTTACAATGTGTTCCTCATGTCTTATTCTCGCCTTTGTGAATTGCAGAGCTTCATGGGCCTCTGCGAGCACCTCCGGAGGGTGGAGCAAATGAGGGAGGCAAAAGGCGCAGCCGAAGGGGAGGCCGCCCTCCTCAGGAAGAAACTTGCTGAGGCTGAGGACTCCCTTCGCCTGGCTACCGATGGCATGGAGCAGCGGGTGCAAGCTGCGAGGGCCGAAGGGGTGAACGAGGGCCTGGTTAGGGCCGGGGAGGCTGCTGCCGAGGCCGCCCACATTGCTGCTGATGAAGCCCGCGCAGCTCAAGAAGAGGCCGTCTCCAGAGCCCGGGAGGATGCGGTGGCCAGCTTCACTGCCGAGGGATGGAAGGCTGAAGACCGGAGGGAGTGGCTCGCTTCGGTGGACGAATGGGTCGGAGGCCCCGGCAAGATGTGGCTTGCTAAGAGGGGCGACTCTTACTATCAAGGCGGGGAGTTCTTCACCCAGAGGCTCATCTACCGGAAGCTTGCGAGGCATTTCAAGATCGCACCGGAGGAGTTCCATCCGGTGGCTTATGGCCTCCCCCCTCGTCAGCCAGACATCAGGATCCCGCTCCCCGAAGGAGAAGAGAGGCCAGTACTCGAAGACTCAGAGACCCTAAGGGAGTGCGGCCTCGGGGGTGATGGGGGTGAGGCCGAGAGTGAGACAGTTTCTACAGCTCCCCCTTCGTGAAATGTATTCCCCCCGATTTGTAATCATACTTTGTTGTAATTGTTGGCTTCGGCCCTTTTTGTAACGTACATTTAAACTTCCCTTCATCAGATGAATGAGTTCATATGCCTTCGGGCTTTTGATATATAACATGCTTCCCTTTAATTCGTTTCTTCTCGAATGTATGCCGTCGTTTTCTTTTGAATGTATGCCTTCGCCCTTCTTTGAATGTATGCCTTCGCTTTTCTGAATGTATGTTTAGGACTTAGAATACATTCTTCCAAGTGTAGTGCTTCTTGTAGCCCTCGGCTACTAGTAATCTTTCGTCAGTTGAACCTTTCACCGAGAGCACAATGTTCAGGACTTAGAAATATTTCTAAGTGTTTGTTCATCTGTTGGCCCCCGGCCGGTTCCTCCCCTCTGGTTCCATGTAGCCTTCGTGCGATAGCCGGAGGTGAGGTGCTTAGGACTTAGAAAAGTTTTCTAAGTGTTTGAATACAGTTATAGCCTTCGGTAGTTGGGCACCCTTTGCTAGATGTATGACCGAGGGCCCAACAAGAGTAAGGACTTAGAAAATATTTCTAAGTGTAGTCTCACCAAGCCTTCAATCGTGTGACCCCTCGGGCTGCAGGGAGATTCGAGACTTAGAAACTTGTCACCGAGGGTAAGAACTTTTGGGACTTGGAAATTTTTCTAAGTGTAGCATGTATGAAGTGGGAGCCCTTGGGCAGCATGGAGATTTGACCAAGGGTCAGAGTATGTAGGACTTAGAATATTTTTCTAAATGTAGCTTCATCAAATCTTCAACCGCGTGGCCCCTCGGGCAACATGGAGATTTGACCGAGGGCCAAAATATGTAGGACTTAGAACATTTTTCTAAATGTAGTATGTGTGAAGTAGGAGCCCTCGGATGACTGTGAGGACCTTGTATGTAGGACTTAGAACATTTTTCTAAATGTAGCTTCACCAAATCTAAGCATTTAGGACTTAGATTGTTTCTTTAAGTATTTCCTGCTGTTGTCCTTCGGGGGGGACCCTTCGGTTGTAGGCATTGTAGGTTTAGGATAGTTCCCTTTGCTTTGCCATGTAGGGCTATGGTAACAAAAGCCTTCGGTTGTTTGTCATATAATGCCCTTCGGGGACGTTTTGAGTCGTTTGAACCTTCGGTTTTAGGTATAGCCGGAGGCAATCCTTGAGTGGACTTAACCATTCGTTGATGATGTCTGTTGTGAATGGTATCCTTTGTATTTGTGGACTTCCAGGTACCGAAGGTGTTCCCGTGGGGAGTCCTCGGTATGTTTTTGTGAATCGGTAGTGTGATGTACTCATTGATTTCTCGCCGAGTCTACTCCCCTTCACCACCCCAAATTTTTTTTTTGAGTAGTGAAGGGAAGGCATCAAGAAACTTGGTTTCTTGGTAAGGCTTGGCCTATCGGGAGGTAACATAATACACCATTAGCTCCCCCCTCGGGTTGACCTTCCGAGTTCCGAGGGGATCGAGGGTCGATTCCTGGGTAGAATACACCATGACCTGCCTCCCCTTGGGGGATGGCGCGGAAAGCGCCTCAGTTTTGAAAGTCGTCCCCTCGGCGCTAGACATAGTCCGTGGCCTGCCACACCCTTGGGGTGGTGGCGCGGGGAGCGTTTCGGTTTGGAAGTCGAATCCTGGGCATTTATCGTGCCTGTCATACCCTTGGGGTGATGACGCGGAAATCGTTCCGTTTTTGAAAGTCGAATCCTGGGCATTTCTCATGCCTGTCATACCCTTGGGGTGATGACGCGGAAAGCGTTTCAGGGAAGGGTTTTCATTTGCACACTGGTTGCAAATGGCCGGGTGCACTACGTGCTACCGGCACCGATAGGTGGTGCCTTCGGTATAGGCGTCCTCGAGGGGTACAGCTTAGGAAACAACACTTGGTGTTTGTTCCGACGTACCCCCCGGTACTTGGTACCGAGGGGTCTTCTGTAGAAATAATTGGTGTTTTTTTTTCTTCATTTGTCGCAGGGGACTGTGGTGTCTACCATCGGTACTTGGTACCGAGGGGTATTCTGTGGGAACACTTGGTGTTTCTTCCTACTTGTTGGAGGAGGTGATTTTGTCGTCTACCCTCGGTACTTGGTACCGAGGGGCCTTCTGTGGAAACACTTGGTGTTTCTCCCCGATTATTGAAGGGGATTATGTTATCCACCCTCGGTACTTGGTACCGAAGGGCCTTCTGTGGAAACACTTGGTGTTTCTTCTCATTTGTTGAAAGCTGCTAGTGATGTGTCCCCCCGGCACCAGGTGCTGAGGGGTCTTCTTTTGGGGACATGTGGTGCTTTGCTGTAGGTGATAGTATCCTCTACCCTCGGCACTTGGCGCCGAGGGTTCTTCTATTGTGGTGAGGCCTTGGGCCTGGGGTGGTATGAGGGCTTGGCCCTTGTGATAATCTTGTTCCGTGTTCTCGGTGTCTTCAAAATGCCTTCATTCTTCAGAATTCTTTAGGCCTTGGGCCGTAAAATAATACATTCACTAGTTATGAGGGCTTGGCCGCTCTGATGTTATTGATAAAATTTAACTAAGTGATGTACATTCCAGTGCCTAGGGACTTCAGTCTCGTTAGGGCGTTTTAGTTTGTAAGTTCCTGTTTTGATGATGGCTGTCACGATGTAGGGGCCCTCGAACTTTGGTGCCATCTTTCCACCCTCGGTTGGTTGGCTAGCTTCCCTTCTTCGGAGAACATAGTCCCCCACTTGGAATTCCCGGGAGCGAACCTTGGCGTTAATATAACTCTTCACTTGCCTTCGGTAGTTTTCTGCGCGTATGAAGGCTTGCTCTCGGCGTTCTGAAAGCAGGTGGAGGCCGAGGGCCATATTGGTGTCGTTGGCCTCCGGATCATACTGTGTGACCCTTCGGGTTGGGAGAGTTACCTCAGTGGGGGCTTTGGCTTCAAATCCGTAGCAAAGGGAGAAAGGTGTCTCACCAGTTGCCCGTCGAGGGGTAGTACGGTAGGCCCACAAGATGTTGTAGAGCTCTTCTACCCAACCACCCCCTTCGGCCTCCAGCTTCTTTTTTAGGCCCTCGAGCAAGGTCCTGTTGGCGTTCTCCACTTGACCGTTGCCCTGGGGGTAAGCAACGGATGAGAAGGTGTGTTTGATGCCCCATGCCTCTAGGAGGGCACAGAATGGGGCTGCCTCAAACTGAGTCCCATTGTCGGAGATGATTTGCTGAGGGACGCCAAACCTGGTGAGGATGTTCTTGAGAACAAAGTGACGGCACCTGGCCTCAGTGATGCTGGCGAGGGGCTCAGCCTCCACCCATTTGGTGAAGTAATCGATGGCGACGATGATGTATCTGTTGTTGGAGGTACCCCTCGGCAGAGGGCCCACAAGGTCTATGCCCCATCGAGCGAAGGGTATGGATGTGCTGATGGGGGCATAGTTGACCGCTGGCCTGCCGGGGGCTTTCTGGAAGTGTTGGCATGTGAGACACCTCCTGGCAAGATCTGCACAATCCCGGGCCATCGTAGGCCAGAAGTAGCCCTGGATTATTAGCCTTCGGGACATGGAGAAGGGTCCCTGGTGAGCTGAGCAAGTGCCACTGTGTACTTCCTCCATTGCTACTTCGGCTTCATCTTGATGAAGGCACCGAAGTAATGTCCCGTTGTAGGATCTTTTGTAAAGCCTTCCGTCCTTGATAACGTAGCTGGGAGCCCTCAGTTTTGTCAGTTTGGCGCGGGCCTCCTCCTCGGGAAGTTGCCCTGTGGTGATGAAGGCAACAATGTCTGAGATCCAGTCCTCCTGTCTTTGTTGCATGCTCATAACGGGGCTAGCATGTATGCTGGAGAGGCTGAGTTCTTCCACTTTGGCAATCTTCGAGATATGCTCAGGGGATTCTGCTGAGAGCTTTGATAAAATGTCGGCCTCAGAGTTTTGAGCCCTCAGTATTTGAGTAAGAGAGTGTGCCTCAAATACCTTAAGCAACTCCTTGGCCGCCTCCTTGTATTGCTTCATTCTCCCTTCCTTGGCTTCGTACTCCCCGGAGATTTGGCCGACGACTAACTTGGAGTCGCACTTGACGTGGATTTGTCGGGCCTTCATGTTAGCCGCCAGCCGAAGGCCACAGAGGAGAGCCTCGTATTCGGCTTCATTGTTGGAGACTTTGAAGGAGAAACAGACTGCATAATAGGCCCGGAAGCCCTCGGGTGAGATGAGAACCACCCCTCCTCCACATGCCTTGATGGCGGAGGAGCCGTCGGTGTAGAGGGTCCACCAATCATCTGAAGGGGCCGAGGGCTCCTCGTCCGTGGCTGCCCTCGCCGTACACTCCGTCACGAAGTCCGCTAGGGCTTGGCCCTTGATGGCGGGCCTAAGACGGATGTCGATGTTGTATTGGCTCAAGAAGACAGCCCATTTTACCATTCGGGAGGAGCTAATGGGGCTCCTCATCAAGGCGCCGAGGGGTTGCTGAGTGAGGACCTGGACCGGGTGAGCCTGGAAGTAATGGCCCAACTTCTTGATGGTCCACACGATAGCCAGCACCGTT